TCGGTTTGAAGGATGGGGCAGCCGTTGTGACTATACTGAGACCTTAGAACTATATCTCAAGGTGTGTGGCGCATTTAGGTTGTAGATGTCTATGGGCTCCAGTAACCACTTAACACCAGGTGGGCTGTGAGCTCTTCCACAAATCTAAGCTAAATAAAAAAAATAGCGTTTTTTATCAACTTGTGCAATTATAATTAGACAATGACAATTTAATATTAAAACAATAATAAAACAAGACCGCGCTATATTAAACATTAATAAAAGCAAAACCTTAACTGTCCCCTTCACACTCATAAGCTAAACCGCGCGAAAGAGAGATGTGCAGACTTTTCATGATGCGCATGCAGTGTGACGTGACAACGTGTGAATGTATTGAACTCGAGCTACATGGTAGGCGGAAGGTTTTTTTCGTTACGGAATTTCATGATTCGGTCGCCGCGCTCAAGGCTCGCGATAAAAGCTATGCAATAGCTTAAAAATAAAAATAAACGTGTGGCATGTGGGAACTGCCGCGGTAAAGCTATTGTATAGCATTTTTTATCAACTTATGCAGTTATAATTAGACAATGATAATTTAATATTAAAACAATAATAAAACAAGACCACGCTATATTGAACATTAATAAAAGCAAAACCGATTGATTGATTGATTGAACATTGATTTATCCGTGTTTTCGCATATAAAAGAGATAAAATCTATGTTCAGCAATGGGCAAGTACAGACATTCGCCATCCAAAGAAATGGGTGTGTTGACTCAAGCTAGCGGTCCCTCAGTAGTCGGAATTCGACCATAATTAATTTAAATTATAAGTTTGAACATTATAAATTATTATTATTCACTTGTCAAACTATAGATAAATAATATTAATCTATTATCAATTTTCCCACAAACTTTAATAATAAACAAAAGAGTGTATATTATGTGTGTGTCAAATACATGTGTGTAATGATTTTTTTATTGATTAATGTATTTTTTATGCATAATTAAAAAAATTATTGCATTCTGCACTCCCCCTTTATATTCTCTATAAGTGTGGAAAATTTCATTCTCCTTCGTCCACGCTATTTTCGTAAAAAGGGGTACAAAGTTTTTTCTTCATTCATAAATACTTAGTCTGGCCATAAATACTGTTACAAAAGAAAACAAAAAAAAATCTATGGCAAATAACATTTATTACTTTTACAGTGTGTTAGTTTCATACATAAATATAAAACAATTTACAGTATACAAAGCTTATTCGAAGTGGTCTCCATTGCCTGCAATACAGTCCTTTAAACGTTGAGGCCAGTTATCAATAGAAGCACGCACTCTTTCCATGGGAAAATTGTTCACTGCCAATTGTACGGATTGTTTTAGGGATTCCAAATTATCATGGCGTTTAGAGCAAGCCGTACTCTCTAAAACTGACCATAAATCATAATCCAGCGGATTAAGATCGGGACTAGACGACGGCCAGCCTTCAGCTCTGATGAAGTCCGAAACGTTCGTTTCCAACCAAGACTGCGTAGACCGAGCTTTATGACCTGGCGCCGAGTCTTGCTGGAAGGACCATTCTTGACTATTGAACATGGTGTTGTTAAGGGGCTTCACCAACTTCTCAAGAATGGTATCTTGATACACTTGTGCCGATGTTTTGATACCTTTTTCACAAAAGTATGGCTCAGTCACTCCTTCATAGCTAATACCCCACCAAACCATCACTGAAGNAGACTGCGTAGACCGAGCTTTATGACCTGGCGCCGAGTCTTGCTGGAAGGACCATTCTTGACTATTGAACATGGTGTTGTTAAGGGGCTTCACCAACTTCTCAAGAATGGTATCTTGATACACTTGTGCCGATGTTTTGATACCTTTTTCACAAAAGTATGGCTCAGTCACTCCTTCATAGCTAATACCCCACCAAACCATCACTGAAGTCGGATAGTGCCCACATTGCACTCTGTCGACTAATTGGAAGGCTTCCTTAGAGCTTTGAGCATAAATACGGTCATTTATTTGTTAAAATGTTGTTCAATTGTAAAAAATTTCTCATCCGTAAACAAAATTTTTCTATGACCTCCCTTTGCGTACTGCTTCAGTAGTTGTTTCGATTTTACCACCCTATTCTCTTTTAAATTATCAGCTAAGAAATGACCAGTACGTCTCTTATAGGCTGCAAGTCCTAAGCTATCTTTTAAAATTTGCGACATGATTCTAGGTGCTATCTTCATCTCCGAGATAAAATATTTTGCTTTCGGACAGGATTTCTTCGAATTATTTCCCTTACTGCTTTGACCACCTTTTTCGTACGAACACTACGTGGACGGCCAGATATTTTTCTGTCACAAACAGAGGAGGTCTCATTGCGCTTATCAATAGCCCGGTACACAAACATTTTACTAATACCAAGCGTATGAAGAGTTTTAAAAAGTGTTTGGCTCCATACCTACTTTGTGTAATGCAATCACAGCGATTCGGTTCTCTTTATCTCCCCACTCCATTTTAATATCGCAAAATATTGTACAATGTATTGGCGCCAAAATGAGAAAACTCAATGAGCAATCATATAAAAATGACAGATTCCAAATTGAAATGTAATATTTTGTTTATTTTTAATTGTAACAGTATTTATGGCCAGACCAAGTATACAGATTTGTAAACATCGTTATCGAGAAACTGATTCCAGAAGGGTTTAAGCTCGAACATCTCACTGCAGTCATCCATTCATTAACGCAATGATTTATCCACCGAATCAATGCTATTTCCAAGCTTTTGTACGTGCAAAGGTAATTTTAATATATTGAATTGGTATTTAAAACATTAAATGGATTTATTACATTTTTATTCGGTAAAGTTATTAACAGATTTGGTATAATCGCAATACATCGATTTCGAAGCTTTCAGCTTGTGTGATTCAGTAGTGGTGGTGATGGGGAACGATATGGTGAGTGCTGTGCTTTACATCAGCATGGAACCTGCGAAAGAAAGGAAAAGGTTATAAATATTTTATGAGAGTTGCAAAAGGACTATGTTAATTGATCTATAAAAATACCTACCCAGAATGATGATCACCGTGGTAGTGCACGTGTCTTTCGGAGCCGTCAGGTTGGTGTAGAGAGTAATATCCCTTGACGACGTCACCGTCGCGGGACTCGTGCTGACTCTTGTGGTCGCCGGTGTGAGGGTCGCTCACTTTGTACTCGAACTCGTATTTAGGGTGGGTCTATAATATGATAATTCAAATTATATACGATATAAAATTTAGATTATGCAGGTACATGTGATAACGGTGTACTCACATAGTAATCATGATGGTGTCCGTGGTGTACGGGCTCATGGTGTCCATCGTACTTGTGGATGTGTTGGGAGGAGAATGCGTGCTCGGCGGATACAACACCCACCAAAGCAACGAATAGTACTATCTGGAAGGTATTTTTGTTAGATTAGCCGCAATCTTTTAAAAAATATTTTCTTTCTCCGGTTCAATTAAAATACAACTACATACCTTGGAAACCATTGTGAACTGTAGTCACTATGTGAACTGATACATATTTCAGAAATCTGATTGCTTTTATATTGTTATCAAGTATCAAATAACAGCAAGGTCGTTCTTATTTCATAGGCGTTTAAATTATCCAACCACCAGCAACAAACGTTTGCAACATTTAAAATTATTGTATTGACTTAATCAAAGGCCATTTTTGGAAAATGAACACATTAGTAGCTAGTGCGTGTACATTGTTTTTTGGCTTAATGGGGACACAGGCATAGGGCACGTCTTAAAGTGAGTAGTCATCGATGCTTCTAGAAACAGAAAATATCGGAGGTGTAACTTAGTTACTGTCAACCGTTTAGGAACTAATTATTCAAACGTCGTTGTCGTGGCGATCAACCTCTTTGACAGGACATACGACTTACATTGATGAGACCTTGACAGTGTGATTTTTCGAGACAAATGAACGAGGACGACCGTTCAACTGAACATTACGACGGGAAAAAAGGGAAAAGACAAGGTATAACAGCTTAATACCTAAATAGACGACAAACGAACAAACCGACCGTTCAGTCGTTGAAGAAGGAGTTATTGCGCTCAGGAAGCACCTTCTACGGAAACTCTAGAACCAGATGATAGATGAATTTTACTTTGGTTGCGAATGGGGCGTTGGTAAAATGGTAATGGTAATGGTAAAGTTATGGAATCATCTCAAAAATATACTAAAACATTTCAAAAATGTATGAGACAAACTTCGCGTTTTTGTATTAGCTTATGCTTATCCCACAATAATACATCTACTATTACTATCCCAAAGTATGGAACGTGCCACGTATCTTTGCGTTACCTTCTGTCGATTCCACAGCAACTGTAGCCCACTACGCTAATGTATAAGACAGATTATAATTATGTACAATGACTGTTACTTGAAAACCGCCTCATTGTTGCCGGCACTGGCTACCTCAATTCCGGTTCAAGCGGTAGCCAGTCACAGCGAAGGCCCTAGACACATCCTTACGGATCCACCCGATCCATTATTATTGAATTAGATGCTTGCAGCACTCATAAATTAGCCCACAGAATTTCTTACTGGGTCGCGGTTCCGATCAGAGTCTTTAGAAAATCCCAGCCCCTTCTGGCTGAGCCAGTGCTCGTCTACCCGTGCGGGTCAAACTAGAAAAACCCTCCTTCTTAAACAAAAGGGTTGAAATATTTAGCATTTCGTGTACTTGTTGTATAGCACACTCCAATTGTTAAATCGTTACAAAACACATTGCGATAACCAGAAACAATTTAAATTAGCGACTTGGACCTTCGCCGGCTTTGATAACTATATAAAAGTTAGAATTGTTTGACGAAATCTATCACTTGGTCGTTTGCAGTCGGTAGTAATACAATATCATGTTTTCAAAGGTAAATTTTAGTTGTCGATTAAATTAGAGCCCCCTATTTTGAAATACTCAAATATTATCAGTGACACCTAATAATTTAGCGGATTATTAATCTCTTTTTTTCTATCCAGGTAGTGGTTTTGGTCGCGTTGGTGGGCGTTGTATACGCTGAGCACGCGTTCTCCTCCCAACACATCCACAAGTACGACGGTCACCATGAACCCGTGCACCACGGACACCATCATGATTACTACGTGAGTGACATACTAATGAAACTCGAACTCATAAAGTTATATTGGGAAATTTAACATCTTAAATTGAAATTTTCAATTCAGACCCACCCTAAATTCGACTTCGAGTATAAAGTGAGCGACCCTCACACCGGCGACCACAAGAGTCAACACGAGTCCCGCGACGGTGACGTCGTCAAGGGATATTACTCGCTGCACCAACCTGATGGCTCCATCAGACATGTCGACTATCATGGTGATCATCATTCTGGGTTAGTAACAAATATAGTACGGAGTTAATAATAATAATAATAATACAGCATCCTCTATCATATTTTAAATTACCATTTGTCTTTTCACAGGTTCCATGCTGATGTGAAATATAGTACTCATCATATTGTACCTCATCATCATCACTACTAACATTGATTGTGATCATTTTGCTAATCGTTAAATTATAACACAGAGCTACTTACGAGTATTTCTGTTTCGTTGTTCATAAACGATATTTCATTTTGTGAATAATAAAAATGATGAAAAAATATAATAAAAAAATCAACCCATCATATTTCTGTTTTGCTTAAATCACAATAAACCTTAATTCATTTTGGCGAACTAGCAATAAATGCTATACGGGCAAAAAAAGAAATCAGTCGAATACTAATGGTATCCATTATGGTCCTGACTGTACCAGGACCGTAATTCAGGTGAATTTTAGATAGTCATACATTTTAGTTTTACAAAACTTTGTTATCGATTGACAGTTCAAGATCCTTTTGATGTATGCCTAGAATTTTTTGCGTTAAATTAGCTGTTTATGTATCATATATTCTTCAGGACACCATCGATGAAATCTCTCAGTAGAGCAAAAGCTTCCAAAGTACCTTAAATATTCAGGTAGTACGCTGTTACTTCGCTTTGAATTCGTGTGAATTCACTTTGACCTTTTTACCATGGTAGGTTTCCTTTTTCGGAATAGATTTAAATGAAAACACTGGAAGAAGTTTTAAATAATTTACTTTTTTATTTTTATTGCTTATATGGTTGGACGAGCTCACAGCGCAACTGGTGTTAAGTGGTTACTGGAGCCCATAGACATCTACAAGGTAAATGCGCCACCCACCTTGAGATATAAGTTCTAAGATCTCAAGTATAGCTACAACGGCTGTCCCTTCCCCTGTGCCCTTCAAACCGAAACGCATTACTGATTCATGGCAGAAATAGGCAGGGCATATACCTACCGTGCAGACGTCCTACCCTTGCGGACTCACAAGAGGTCCTACCACCAGTAAACTTAGACAATGTACATTTTTAATGCCCCTAAAAATGATTCTCGAGCTCCAAATGTGTTGCGAGATTTTCCTGTCCATCTCGATGTTGAATCAGTTTCCAAGTTAATAATACTAAGTGTTTGTCTGTCGAATAATTGACGGCCCTGACGGTACCATCAGCTTCGTGCTGACAGTACATGCCCTTCGAGATGTTAACGTCGTGGTTCTCGTGTTGGTACTTGTTGTTGTCAGTCTGAGGATCCTCAACTTTGAATTCGAGTGTATTTTTGATGAGGTTTAAATTATCATTACTTTATTTTCATTGCTTTAAATTCTCACTACATTAAATTGAATTAAATTATTAAATGCTGTTGTTTCTTCTTCCTTATTTCCTCTCTTATTTCATTATTTCAAATGATCCTATAATATTCTTCCGCATGCAAGGTTCATAAAACAATCTCAGCGATAGGCAGAGGATGCCTCTAACGCTAATATTGTTGATATTTTTAAACATCGGTAGTCATTTGCCATCAAGGTATGGTCATTTGGTATCAAAAACAACTTCATTTAAAAAAAATGATTTTATTGTAAAAAAAGCGTTGGATGCATGATATCAGTAGTTATAAATATTTTATGAACAGATATGAGTAGAAGGGTTATTTTGATAATATCCTGAAAAGCACCCCACGCTTTTTTTACAATAAAATCATTTTTTCTTACACTATTTTTAATTCAAATTTATTAAAATTCATTTTCAATTTTTTAGTTGGATTTTCTATAAAAGCGTATTTTTTTAGTTTTTTTAAACTATTATTTATTTTTCGCTTTTTAGTTCTGTACCTCAGAGGTAAACAATAGTAACTCCACATTTTGTCGAAATTAAGTTTTTTATACCATTAAAATCGCAAGAACCAGTTCTACATAATGGTATAAAGCATTAAATCCTACGTTGCCTATGAAAAGAGATATACAATGGTATATAACATTAATTGCACAAATATTAACAGGGTATAGGATCTCAAATGATGTTGATATTTTTTGCCTCTAACCACAGCGCGACGTTAATGCTGTTCATTGGATATAATGTTCTATACCTCTTAATAAAACGCGGGGGCGCTCGCGGTACACGTGAAACTGTCGTTGCTTTGAGCGTATAAAATAACGCAATTAATTGTATAAAAGTGTAAAAATAATATGTTTTCACGTGGAAAATTACTATGTAATCTTGCAAATGCCGGAGAACAGTGTAATGCAACTCCTGAATATAGTAAGTGCCCTTATTATTACTTCCATTATCATGAACATACTGGGTAAATAATAGAAATGTAAACAAGTTGTAATTGCATGCTTGTCGTATAAGTGGCGAGTGGCTGAATGGCGAGCTTTCTCTCATATGGCCCGTTATTCTTTTCTTCGAACAAATTTTAATCCAACCCATGATAGTGCTCAGTAGTTGTTAATGTCTCTCGCCGTCAACCTTCTGAGGACTGACCGGGCTGAACGTTGTTTATTTTCAGTGGTCGATCCGAACGAATGCTTCAGTGATAACTACTTATACAATTTTGTTTTGTTGTTTTCTAGAGCCCCGGAGAAAGCAGCAACATGTACCTGAATGCCACGATTCACCCAAACTGTTATCGCCAAGGCCTTACAAAGACCTTGATGTGCATTTGGATCCATCTTAAGAACTACATACAGATAATTTTGATACACAATCATCCCACCTTCGCTTTATTTACTGATATCTCAAACAAACATGAAAAATATATATAGAACAGAGAACAGAGAACCTCACGGAGAAAATCTGCATATCCTGGAATGGAATTCCGCCGAAAGTTTATTTGCAAGACTTTGCCTAGAGTTTAACGTACTTTTAGCTCCATCTCAAGAAAAGTGTACGGTCGGTGTTGCTACTGATAATGGATCCCAACTGTCAACCACTGTTTTGCTTACTGATATTTCTAAAAATTTCGTACCCTCTACGAACTTTCAACACAAAGGTACAGTTAAGTTTATGAGCTGAAGTTAATGAGTTTATGAGCTGAAGATTTTTCACCATTAGATGAAGAATAAATACCAGACACCGATGAAGACGCTACAAAGTGCAAGTATGTTGGAAACAAGCAGGTAACTAGGTATACCATAAACAAGTAACTCATCCATCGAAGATGTAGAAAATATGATAGAAAACAGAGAAACCCAATTATTCAATCAATCAGTTAGTTCCTTTAAATCCTTTCCTTCCGTTAATTCCTTCAAATTCGTTAAATCCTTTTAGCGTCTGCACTATACGCTAAAAATTCTAACTGTAGATCTCCAAAGATGTTTACCAACACTCTATTTGACTATAGCCAAAGTTTCTATTACAGAAAGCTGTGGACGTTTAACTTTACGATTATGGACTCAGTTCCAAAAGATAGCTGGTGTTTTATGTGGGACGAAACCGTGGCGGGTTGAGGTGGAAATGAAATGGCATCAGGAATAGTTAATGTTTTTAACGATAGAGCGTTGAAAGAAGTAATATTATGGAGCGACAATTGTGCGGGGCAGAATAAGAATGTATACTTGATGGTGGCTTAGGTACTTCTGGATATTGACTCAAAAAGAGCATTTGTAAATAATAAACCACAAGTATTTACTAAAAGGACACACATGGAAGTGAATGTGATCAACTCAATAATAGAACGAGAAAAGAAAAAGATCCAAGAGTTTCCCATTGTTACTCCCTGGCACTGGCAGTAGTTTATTAAGAGCTGTTCAAGAAATAATAAAAGTAAAATGATTAATATGGAAACCGATCACTTTAAGGGTTTTTCTGCTTTTTGTGAAGGATCATTAACACCTTTTGTTCACAGAAAAAAACCGAATGCAGGAGAAACTGTGCCTTATTCAGCTATAGTTTGGATGCAGTTCCAAAAAAATTAGATGGGTTCATTTAACCAGGAAACTTTCTAACAAGTCAGTTTTATTAGAAACAAACGAAGAGCATGTTCGATGTCCGCGACGAAACCTATTGGAGAAACTTGAAAACCCATTTCAGGACTGAAATACAACGACTTACAAAAATCGTTGCAGTGGATTCCATCTATGTTTCATGAATATTAAAATAATCTTCCATGAGCGGAAGTTCCTGACTTGCCTGAAGCCTGCGAGTGAGCTATTAGTCTCCTATAAATAATCAGATAAATAAATATTTCAATTTCTTTGCACAGACTTATTATTTTTATTATATAAAATAAATCCTCCTGTCTCCCTCGACCCCTTCAAAATTACTTCCATATACATTTGGATTACCTCATAATATTGTATACCTCTAAGAAATACATTTTTTTTAAAGGTATATAGCCTCAAGTCCATAAAAAAAGATAATAGATAGATTTATCGTAATTATGAAGTATTTCATGATACTTCCCTCTATTTATTATAAAAAATACAGCTAAGTTAATTACTCTGCCTCTATTATAACTCTCTCAAAATTACATTCAAAATTTCTCTACGCGCATTTTTGCCTCTCCTGTAAAATTTTATTTTAGGCTCTTAATGTTGTATGCCTCTGAGGTACAGAGTTGAATTACAATTTTTTCATATATTTTTTTCAATTTTTTTTTAATATTGAATTGTTATCGGTCTTTAATAAGTATACCAAATTTCGAGTTAATCCGACGTTTTGAAGGGGTCAAAATCATGTTCAAAGAGTCCGTTACAAACATACATACATCTGAAGCTAATAAAAAGCGTATTAATTATAAACATTTTACTATTTCCTATATAGTGGTCACTCTGGTGTTTTAAGAAGTCTTATAGATTTAATGACTATTTGACAAATTTTTACTAATTACTAAACTTACTACATATTTCCTAAACTATTTTTTCTGACTCGGTGATGCAGTAGCTAGCACCCCTGATTGTTGCGCCAGGGGTGGGGGTTGATTGCCATATCGGTTAGTTTGTCTGTTTGGGTATTTATTATCCATCCATATATGTATATATCTAAACGTATATAAGCATGTATGACAGTCTCTGGTACTAATAACACAGGTAATCGTAATTCGGGGCAAGAAAGACCGTGCGTTATATTTTGTTCCCAGTTATCATTATTATTATTATTGTTAAATATATTAAATATATAAATTATGATTACTACTATTTATT